CATAGGTAGGGGTTTTGAGAGGTGAGTGGATCATGGGTGTGTAACACTCATCACTGGACTAGTTCTCTGAAGGGGTTTAAAGTTGGTTTTGATGTTGGAGGTAAAGCCTGGTGGGAAGAAGTGGGTTGCTGTGGGGATGGCCTAGAATGGAATACATACTGCCTTCCCCCATTTTCCTCTCTGCCATGCTGTGAGCAAGCCTCCTCTCCATGCCCCTCTGCCACAAGGGCTTTCATTTCAAAAATGCAACTTTGACCCCAGTATGGTTTGCCCTCAAAAAAACTGTTGCACTCTTCCTAATACCTTGAAATCTGACATTATCTTAAACTTACTATGGGAGAAAATCCTTAGAAGGATACATTTCCAAATAGTGAGGCTACATTCCTAGGGAGATTCTTTTTCCTGTGAAGATTTTCCTTCCTCAGGGATCTTATCTAGAGTCACCAAACATTCTTCATCTGCCTCCATATCAGCTCTCAGAGACGCACCCCTCACTCTCACATTATGCAATCAATAATTACCATGGGATTGTTAAACCAACAAGACCTGGCATCAAACTCAGGATCACAGTCAGCTCTGGCCTTTTTTCCACATCCCAAACAACCTTTTATCCATTAACCATGATCACAGTGGACAGAAAGACACAGTCCTGTGTGTGGTCTTTAATCATAGTCATGCTAAATTTCCCTCCATGTCATTTGGAGGGATTCTCCTTTTTCTTTTCAAAGTGTTACTGTCTTCAGTAACACTGTTTATTTAATCATCTATACCATTTTATTTTTGTCCTCCCGAGTTGTTGCTATGGTGGAATGAGATGTTCCTGGCAGGAGAACAATGAACATCGCTGATTTTTCCCCATCTGTCAACATAATCACTTTTGTTTATTTTCCAGGCCGGTCATTAACATGACCTCTTCCTGGAATCCTTAGCCACGAGTGTATTGTCATCAGGAGGCAAGTTGGACCAAATATTCAATTCATTACTAAGTATTAAAATGCAGACAAAGGAAAATTACAGAATAAATAGTGGTGATAACCTTGAAAAGTAAGCAACTGTGAATAATGAAATGTGGCTCAGTGCTGTATGGAAAAGGATGTTATAAGCAGAAGGAGTACCCTGAATTCACCAGCGAATACAGTGAATACAGACGCTAGTAATGGCCACTTTTATTATCATCCAGTATGGAGAGAAGACATTTGGATGTGACATGATTTACAAGTCAGGCACAGCAGTACATTTATTTACACCAGAATCACCGCAAGCACATTGACAATGCAGTGCCTATGATATTAGCAAATCTAGGACAGCACTCGGGGAGAGGCTCATTCCTTGCAGTCTTGGCCATGCAAGCTGCCCATCCTCAGCGGACACATTGCCGTGTGGAGCAGAGCTGTGATAGTTCATTGCCCGAGATCAGCATGTGGGCAGAATCAGGTTGATGAAAGAAATCTGGATGAGGCTTCAGATGGAAATGAGGAGAAGTGTACTGGAAAGTGAGGGAAAAGACATCTTTGCATCCAATGGGGAAAAAAGGGTGTTTATGTCCAGGTGTATGGTGAATGTCAGAAGTTACCAGAAAGCCATGAGACATGGTGGGATAAATCTCCTAACTACATGCTAAGCATTGTAAATGGATTTTCTTCATTTTTAATGATAAAATAGTGAAAACAGTAATAGGATATAGCAGAATATCAATTCAAAAGGAAAGGAAAACCTACACATTTGGAAATTTCACAGCCTGGCCATGTCATAAAGAGAGCAAAGATTTCTTAGGGCCAACACTGAAGTCTTGTATAAGGAAGTTGTGATAAGGAGAGTGGCATAGACTGAGACAAGCCTAATGCTGCTGAACAGGAAAAGAGAATAGTAATTCCAATGGTATTTAGAGTCTTCTACTCCCACACAAGCCTAGAACACATGGACTTGAGGTCATGACAGCCATAGATGATCATGCTGTCATTTCTCAGGGTTTCCTCAAGTGTCAGCCCCATATATTTGGGGACCACATTCCTGAGTCACCACACGTGTGGCTCCTGTGTGTCCAAGCACAACGTGGGCCTCCATGGCTGACACTGTGGATTGCACAGACCCTGTAGGTCCATGGTGTCCATTAGATGAACTCTCTGCAAGTGTACCAAGTCCAAGCGCTGTGGCCATGGAAGCCTCCATCTGACTTTCAAAGCAGACCTGGACATCTGCAGGCACAAGTAGGAACCTCTATAGAAGGCAGAAGCTGCAGAGACCCTCCACAAAGGCAATGGCAGCACAAGTGTGGGGTGAGAGCCACCAAGAGAGGTGCCCAAGAGCAGTGCCTTGTAGACCTTGCAAACTGTTGCCCCATTTGTCACAAGACTGCAGAACCACCAGGATGCGAAGCTGGTGTGTGACACTGCAGGATCCAGCTCACACCCACGTGAACTCTTGTAGGAGCTGAACTCTGCAAAAGATGAGATGGGTTTGACAGGACCATGTGAAATGTGACATAAAGTCACAGTGACATAAAGGCACAGGGAATTACTCTGGGTCATTTAGGGTAAACATTGGTCCAGTCAGGTTTTGGTGATTACTGATACTTGTTACTCCTTTGAATCAAAAAAAAAATTTTTTTTTTGGTACCGGAGATTGAACTCAGGTCCTTGCACTTGCAAGGCAGGCCACCAAACCGATGAGCTAAATCCCCGGCCCATTGAATCAGTTCTTTAGACGGGGGATATGCACACTATGGAAGGCCCAGCACTGCATTTGGGAAGCAACTTGTTTAATTTCAAGATTACAAACTGGGAAGAGTCATTTGCAAAATCTCACCCATAATTTACTTAGGTGGCATTTACATCAGGCTTTTAAAATGGTACCAAAGTGATTTAAAACTTTGGAGTAATTATGAAGGAATAAAATGATTTTAATAAGAGATAAACACATGGAAGAGGGAGGACAGGATGGAAAACTATGATTGGAAACCATGGGCTCCTCAGAGTTTATATATTGTAATTAATCCATTCCCTGGTGGATATAATTAATATATGGCATCTTTTTTGAGAAATTTGCCCAGGGAGACTTGATTCTTAGTTGAGATCAGGACTCCTGAGACATGAGCTCATCTCTTTTTCTGCTTCCCTGCAATGTAGGGACACAGTGTGCATTTCTTCTGCCACATGACGGTGCAGAAATTAGACAAGGTCTGGGAGCACAGAGTTATCCCCCTAGGGAAACCAAATCTGTCATTGCCTGTTCTTAAAACTCTATGCCCACAAATACGACAAATGACTGTATTTGTTGTAAGGTGCTCCTTGTGTGGTGTTTTTACAGCAGCAGTAATAGAACATGCTCCTCCCCAGTTTGTGTATGTGTTAAATTCACACTCTCATGTTTCAGTACACTCAGCCATTAGTAATCAATGAGTTGCTTCCAACTTAATCTTCTTATTACATGGAATAAGGTGACCTCACCCTAGACAGATAAGTTTTGCCCTTATTTTCTTATGTGAGCTCAGTATTTCCAAATTCAATATTTTTTTCATTAAATTTATCTGTACATTATAGGTATACAATACAGTTACATTCATCATTGGGATCTTGTACCTTCACATGATGCATCTTGGTTCTCATTTTTTCCCATCCCCTGGCCCTCTCTTTACCCCCTCCACCCTTCCATATTTTTATTGCCTTGTCACTTCACTCTTTTGATGTGCTTTTAAATTTATTAACTTACAGTTAATCCAGTTTTTTTGGTTATGGTTGTGCTCTGTGTTGTAAAAAAGAGACCAACTTTTTCATGCCTCTGCATTTGCAAGATGATAAGCAGCTTGCTTTGTAACAGCCGGAAGCTGAGAACATTTAAATAAGCATTAGCAGACCAACTGAAAAGTTCAACTGAAGCGTTTTATATTTTGTTTCTGTCTGATTGTTAACTTTCTGAGTAATTTTCCATGTTGGGGATGAAAATCAAGGCCTCACAATCAGTAGGCAAGGAGCCCACCACTGAGCTGTATCCACAGATCTGTTTTAATGTATTAGGAAATTATTCAGCATAAATACCCAAGCATGCTGACTCTCGTAATTGTGTGTAGATATTTTAAATAAAGTCTATGTCAAACATAAACAAAGTTATAGGGTATGTGCGCTTTGTATAAATGTTGAAATAGGAAAATTAGTGCAAAACAACATAAAGGTCATGAGCTGCCTGGAGATAGGATGCAGGAGGGCAGCAGCAGGAGGGCGGGATGGCAGAGGAGCCCCAGGAAACACTGCAGGATGATACGTGTGTTCCCTGCCCTGTCCGTATGTGTGCATGTGGAAGAGTCCTTGTGTGTTAATACTTCTCAGGTGCACACTTCATAGCTGGGCAGTTTACGTGTTCTATCCAATGAAGCTATCACGGATAAACTATCTCTAAATATAGATAAAGAGTGAGAGAGTTTATGACAGTTGAAAATGAGAGATTCCCTGACAGGCATCCACATGAACACTGGCTCTTTTTCCTCTCAGCAAACAGCAAAACTCAGCAAAGTCACACTTGTGCTCAGCACTGGAAGAGGGGAACAACAGCATCACCAGGTGCCCCTCTCTGTCCAGGAGCTGGAACAGGAAGCAGTTTGTTCACAAATTTGGAGAACATGGGCCCAGAGAGTGGGGAGAGGATTTACAGCATATCAGCTCTGCTATAGAAGAGAAAACTGTGTCCCACACTTTCATAATTTTACATGTTTCCAAGCAGACTAATTTAATAGAGAGGTGTGTGCTTTGTGTACATGAAAAATAAAAGTAGATGAAGAGATAGATAAATACCAAACATCATCTCACAATGAGTTTTCATATTCTTTTGAATGAATTCATTGGTGTCAAACTATCCCAGCGCAATCTCATCAGATGTGGGCCCTGCCCTCTCCGAGTTATCCATCCCCAGAGCTGTCTATATAGCAGGAGGCCATGCAAATAAGGCCTCCCTGTACTGATGAAAACCAGCCAGCTCTGACCCTGAAGCTCTGCAGAGAGCCCAGCCCTGGATCCCGAGGTCCTCCCGCTTGGTGATCAGGACTGAACACAGGCAAGGCAACATGGAGCTTACCATGTGTTGGGTTTTCCTGTTTGCAATTTTGAAAGGTAAATTATTTAGAGCAAAAGATACTGAGTGTGTGAGTGTACATGAGTGAGATAAACAGTAGACAAGTGTGACAGTTTCCTGAGCAGAATGTCTCTGTGTCTGCAGGTGTCCAGTGTGAGGTGCAGCTCGTGGAGTCCGGGGGAGGCTTGGTGCCACCTGGAGGGTCCCTGAAACTCTCCTGCTTGGCCTCAGGATTCACCTTCAGTAACTATGGCATGAACTGGGTCCGCCAGGCTCCAGGAAAGGGGCTAGAGTGGATCTCCTACATCAATAGTGATAGTAGTTACATAAGCTACGCAGACTCCGTAAAGGGCCGATTCACCACCTCCAGAGACAACAACAAGAACACGCTGTATCTGCAAATGAGCAGCCTGAGAACCGAGGACACGGCCGTGTATTACTGTGCAAGAGACACAGTGAGGCGACCTCAGTGTGTGCCCACACACAAACCTCCCTGCAGGGGCGCGCTAGTCCAGCAGGCGTCGCTGTGGTCCATGGAGAACCAGGCAGGGCCCCAGGAGCAGGTGCAGAGAAGGCAGCAGAGGGGTGAGGGCTTCCTGATGGCCTCTGGGGTTTCCCTTCTGTACTCACACATGACCTGAGGAGGCCCTGCAGTGCATGAGCTGCAATGAAGTATCCAAGTCAAAGTAATCATTCTCTGTTAAATTTAATCACCTTAGTACATATTGAAGTATTGACTTTCATCTATAAATGATTTTTTTTTTTTTGTACCAGGGATTGACCTCTGATCCTTGTGCTTGCAAGGCAGGTGGCAGCACTCTGAGCTAAATCCCCGGCCCTGTACATTTTCTATATTTATCTCACTTTTAGCTCAGTTAATTCTGTATTTCCATCACATGTCTATTATTAAATTTTTCTGAAATGATCAAATAAACCTCTCTACTTAATAATGTCACTCTTCTGGCTATGGTTTTGTTTGAGTAGTTTCATAGTGAAGAGAATAAAGCCATTTCCACACCCAACACCCACACATGTAGGCTTCCTGAAGGCGGAGTGGAGGTGACGTTCTCACACAGACAAAAATCCCACGGGGAAGACCAGGGACATCACAGTCACACCCATCCTGGGAGGCCAAATGCACCTCCACCTCCTCACCCTGCTCTGCACCTCACTTGGACCAGAATCATCACTGATGTGTTCACTGTTGACGTTTGCATATTGAGGGTTTATGTTCCTGGTGTGATGTCCCAGCTGCACCTGTTGTTTGCGACCCAGGACATGGACATTTTCCAGATATGGCCTCACCTGAGATGTAGCCAGATGCTCCCTGTTGGACCTCAGATTCCAGCAAACTCTGAAAGGTTTTGTAGGTCTTCTTCTGTTTCCTTCTTTTCTGCTATTCAGTGTTCAGTCACGATTGTGCAAATGTCATTTATAATTACTGATCTTAGAACCTGACTCAAGTAAGAGTTCAGATTTGGCCACTGAAGGTGCTGCTGGCATTTGTTCCAATCTTTAAAACAAATGAAATTCATGACTCACATATTCAAGTATATAAAATTCTGGAAAAATTAATATCACATTTTGTTCAGAGGACCATGAAAGAAATAAAACTGCAGATGGAATAATCAGAAATAAACCTGGACAGACAGGAAGATCCAGAATCACAGGTGAGCCCTGCTTCCTGGTGCAGAAGCAGCCGCAGGCACACAGTGGAGGGAGCACAGAGGGGGAGATGGTGGAGGACTGGAGGACAGGAGGGCACCCGGATGAACTCACACCATGCTCCTGGGGGCCACACAGCTCAGTTGTTACCTTCAGAAGATCCTAGGATCTTAAGGTGAGGATTCGAGATCACATAAGGCAGTGACGGGGAAAATGAGGACCAATCTCTGAGAAATGGACACAGACTCTGCTCCAGACAGAAGACACTTGGGAAAGGACATTTCCAGAAAATTATCCTACTTGGAGGAAAAGTAGTCTCCTAACTGCAGCACAACCAACCATCCTTCAAGGATGACTTAAAAAAGTCAAAATAGTTCATAGGAGACTGAAATTATAGGAAATTCTCTGTCTCCCAGAAAGGAACAGATGTCAAACGAAAATGAGCCAGATGTCTAGACTTTCCCAGTGATGGTCAGAGGGAGAACAAATGATAAAGAACCCAGAATCTCACATTGTCATGCACACCAGTGTGCTGAGCGTGGGTTAGAGCTAAAGGAGCTGCAGGACCAGGTCCACCTGAGGGTAGAACTTAGTGAAGCCACAGATAAAAGAGCAGACAGAGACGGCTGGAGATTGAGTTTATTTGCATCTTGCCTGCCTCAAAAGCTCAAGGTCCTGAGTTTGATCCCCAATACAAAAAAAAAAAAGCAGGAGAGCACAGGACAGCTCTGTGCTGCCTCTCCCTCCCCCACCTGCCAGACATTGCTCAGGGTGTCCAGGGCCTCAGTCTCAATTCTCCATCTCCCCTTGGTGACTTTGGCCAAGTTTGTCTCCTCCCGGTGATTTTGGGATATCCAGGTGTATCCATGAGGTGCACCTAGAATCACAAACCCAGGGAAACACATGCATTCCTGCTGGGAACTGGCCTCCCACCTGGGAGTTTTAGGAGTGAGTTTGTGTCCATGCCTGACCTGTGGTCTGAGGTCAAGAGAGGAGCAGACTAGCAGCTGGTGTCAACCAAGCCAGCACTGTGTTCTTCCCAACGCTGTGCAGAAGCTGGTTGTCCCTCATGGCAATGAACCAGCTCACCAGGTGGCTGCTGTCCCAACCACGTGACCGAAACACCACACCACCAGGGTCAGTGGGCAGTGGTGCTGGCTCCCCATCTGTCTTCTCATAGGTTCTTATCATTGAGATGGGGTTGACCCACAGCCTACTGTGAATGTGCTCAGCTGCAGTTCTCCTCTTCTGATCCTAACGGTGTCTGAAGCGTGGGGCCCTAATTTCTACTCATAAACAATGGCAGAAGCGAGCCCAGGGCTCAGCTAGGGTGTAGGGTAACACATTCACCCCACATTTGGTGTGAGGCATTGGAAGCCATCTCTGGTGTGTAGGATTGGGGCCATACTTGGGTCACCCTCATCCTTTTGAGGCCATGTACAGTCCCTGCTGGACTAGGCAAAACTTCAGACCTCTTTCATGGGCAAAACCAAGGAGATGGGAGCTCCACCAAACCAGCCAGGAAGCTATTCTGCCCTGAAGCCTCCATAATTCACATGAAGAATGGGTCCTGCCATGGAGCCCACGAGCACAGGTGAACAGGGCTAGGTTCACACAGATGCACTCAGAAGGAGGTCGAGGCCCGGGCCACACACAGTTCCCCAGGGCATGTGACCCAGGTCCAGATCCTAGATCAGCCTGATTCTGCTCCCAGAGGCGCTATGCAATATCCACATGTCTATATCCTTGTCTGGTTGTGCATATGTTCATGGGATCCTGCTAGCTGGGTCCAGCCAACCCCACTATGTATGTGCATTGACCCATGTGCTTTGTGGCCTGTATTTTTTACTCACAACAAAGTGAGTCTCACAAGAGTAGAAGGGGCTCCCAGTGTGGAGGAAGAGTAGGGATGCATGAGTCATCCTCTGACTCCAGCCACTTTCTACATTGTGGCCTCATGGGAGGATGGGTGGTGAGAGCGCTTGAGCCTCCTTGGCCCCTGCAGCTTCCTCCTGACCCAAATCCCCAAGATGATCCCTCTAGAGGCCAGGCTCTGCCCCACACAGAATCACTGACTTCTGGGGAATTTACTGTCTAGCCTGGGAAGGCCCCATGGAATCTCAGGCTGGGTTGTGCCTTCCTAGATTTAATCTCACTATAGACTAGAAGGGTCAGTAAGATTATTCCCTGCTCCAACATATGGCCAGAAGCTCAGGGTCACCCTGAAGGAGTCTCTGAACCCAGAGTGGCCTTTCCTGTGGGCTTGAGACACTAAGAAATGACATGTGACCAAGATAGGGGTTGAGGTGCCTGCAGCGTGGAGGTTGGCAGGGGGCTCAGAACTTGCCCTGAACATCTGTAGCCCAGGAACCGTTGCCAGTTTAGAGGCATGTTCCTCAGGGACTTAAGTACTCCCTTTTCAATAAGTATGATCTCAAGGTGCAAGTTTATAAAGCCTGCAGATGTTCGAAAAATACAGGATTTACTGGTTGAGTTTACCCCTCTAAATAACGCAAGGTGAAAGACATAAGAGGGGTTTCTAGGCATTGAATATCTCAGTTATGAGGAGTAGAGTCCTAGGTGGAAACATCTTAACTCAAACACCACAGCACAATGGGAGACACACTTGTCTCTGTCTCCATACGATGTTCACTCTCAGGTCTCGGTGTTGACACCAGGGCTGAGTGGGTGGCACAGTGATGGAGGGTTAGAGAGGGTGGCAGATGCATGGACCCTGTGAATGAGTTAAAATCTGAACTCAAACACTGCAGCACAATGGGAGACACACTTGTCTCTGTCTCCATACGATGTTCACTCTCAGGTCTCGGTGTTGACACCAGGGCTGAGTGGGTGGCACAGTGATGGAGGGTTAGAGAGGGTGGCAGATGCATGGACCCTGTGAATGAGTTAAATTAGCTGAGAAAGACAACAATGGATATGAACTAAATTTTGTAAGCTGTAAAATTCATGACATCTTTTTGTGAAGATGTGAATGAGACCTCAACATAGTATCAGTTCTTAGGCAAGATGGGAGAAACCGAGTAATCAACATTCCCTTCGAGTCCTGTCTTGGATGGGATCAGATACCCAGGCCTGGACCACACACCACTGGGCTGGTCTGAGAACCAAGGGTCTTCCTGTGAAACAGCTGGGATCTCTGCAACCCACACAGATGCTGGGGAAACCATCCCAGGAGGCCTGGCTGATATCAGAGGTGTCTATGATTCCTTCTGGGTTCTCATGTGGAATGGACAGTGTCTCATTCTCAGGGGCAACAATGGACTTTGCTGGTAGTTGGTGATCGCAGAATGAGGTAAGTGTTCAACACCATAGATTATGATGCCGCAGAGGAATCTCATGCGGTCTGTGGAACGTTCAACTTGGGTTCACACAGCAAAGCATAACCTATGGGGGCTCGATTCTCCTTTTGGGGCACTATGTCTGCACAGGGTACACAGGGGAAGTAGAAAAAGCATTTCCTCAGTCCAAGTGAGGACATGGACCCCAGTATCCCACTGCTACATGAACCATGTGGCATCTGCCTCCTCCTCGGGGTAGATCAGGCCTTCAATGAAGAAGGTTCCTGCCTCGTGAATACTCAAAAAAATGACTCTACTGTGGAAAATATGAACATGCCTGTGTCCCAGATCATCCCACCACTACCCCCTTCATCTGTAGAATCACCCAGAGCTCCACACCCCGACTGGACCTGCAGAATCCTCTTCATGGTGGCAGCTTCAACAGGTAAAAAGATTCCCTATTTCTGGCCTGAGGAGGGGACCAGCGCCTGTCAGGGGGCACAGCCTCCATGCCTGTCTCCTCTCCATCAGTGCCCATGCCCAGATGCAGCTGGTGCAGCCTGGATCTGAAGTGAGTAGGCCTGGGGCCTCAGTGAAGTCCTCCTGCAAGGCTTCAGGTTACGTTTTAAGGGGCCGCTATGTGCACTGGATGGGATAGGCTCCTGGACAGGACCTAGAGTGGGTGAGAAGGATCAGCTCTTACAGTGGTGAAATAAAGTGTGCTCGGAAGTCCAGAGCAGGGTCAGCATGACTAAGGAAATCTCCTCCAGTGCGGCCTGCATGGAGCTGAGCTGTCTGTGTTCTGAGGACACAGCTGTGTATTTCTGTGTAAGACACAGCGTGCTGAGCTCATCCTGAGTATGTCAGAAACCCTGGGGGATGACAGCTGCCTTCATTGTCAGATGACAGAGACAAAGCTGAAGACTTGCTTAGAAATCAGGAAAATTTCTGAGTAACAGAACGACAGAATCAGGTTATACTCTGATGATATGGGGAAATCACCAGAGCCCCGTTTCACTGTGTGCTAAATAGTTGGAGTAGAGAAATCGTCCAGTTCGTAAGGTTGAAACAAGAAATACCAAGAAATTTATAGTGTGAACATGCAGTTTACAATCAGTTGCATTATTAAATTTACAAAACTGGTTGATCATGAGGTAAGTATAATTTTAAACCTCAAGGGATTGCAAACATTGCCTTCCCTGTTTCTATTCAACAGAATATGCCGTTAGGGAGTGTTTGTGTGTTCCCTTAAAGTGAGGAGTAGCTACAGAGTTTTACTCTCCCTACCCTCCGTCCATATTCACAGACTTTCCTGCCACCCATACCCTGCCCCGCAGTGCTGCCTGGACCCTACCTGACACACTATCATCTCCCACAGCCATGGCTTACACTGGCTCGCTCCTGGTGCTGAGGAATGAAGAAGTTATATGAGGAAGTGGCCAAGTGCCCGTGGCCCCACCTTTCCTACTCCTGATCCACTGCCCGAGCATCCCCAAGTGGGCATGGGCAGCTGAAAGCTCTCAGCTGGGACAAGTTTCAGGAATGTTAGTAAACAAATTTACTGGAAAACAGAAATGTAAGCAGTACATCAAAATGAGTATACATGGGAGGAGAGACAGCCAGAGTTATCAGAGTGTAGTGACTCCTGGGACTTCGAGAGAAACAGACTGAGAATCGATGTCAAGAGGTCTTCGGAAGAGACTTGTAGATGGATATCTTGGAGTGGTTGACCAAGATGAAGGTACTGTGACTCCCTGGATGCCCCCTAAGTGATCACCTCAGGAAGAAGACTTGAATAAGTGGACAGCATGACCCCTTGCACATATGTGGATTCTAGTAGGTCCATGAAGACAGGGCTCAGGGTTGAAGGATGAACCCTCCACGTACATGAACTGTACAACATCAATACCCTGTCACTAGGCAGATCTGGCTACAGCCCTGGCTGAGTATTCAACCTGCCTGCTACAGAGGCCAACCCTGATGGCTCTGGTTGCATCATTGCTAATTAGTTACCTGGTGGCCCAGTGACTACACGGGACAGAGTCCATCAGGTAAAATAAGAATTTTGTCCTTAATAAAAGAGATGCTGCTATGGTTTACATCTAGATGTCCCCCCAAAATCTCATGCTGCCATAGGTGGGTCTTTTTCAGTGGTGTGTCTAAATCTAGATTGTGTGGTGCTGCGTTTAAGGTTGTGTGATTACCAAATTAATCATTGATTTATTTGGCATAGTTCTGGGTAGGATTAAGGGTGCCCCATCCTGGGTGTGAATGCTATCTGCCCTAAGGGTGGGAGGCCTGGCTAAAAATATAAGGGCCAAAAAGAGGGCTACTGTGTCCATTGTCCTTGCTGTTTGCTGCTCCTGCTGCACTCTTCTTACCATAAATGTTTTTTCCTCTGTGATACCCCTCTGCCATGCCACCCACCTCAGCTGGAACCAGCTAATACACTGAAACACCTATGAACTATGAGACAAAATAAACCTTTCCTCCTTTAAATTTATGTGTTGGGTATTTTTCTCAGCAATGAGAAAAGTAACTGATGTTACAGAAGGAATTGGTAAGTGACACACAGAGCTGCAGCAGAATGTAAGTAAAATAAAAAAGATTTATTTGTCGACAAAGGCCAATCCCACATAATCACAGTTCTGGGATCGACAAAGTACTAGGCTACAACTCCTTCTTTTATAGGGTTTTACAGCCTTGATCTCATTCAAGTGGTTACCTTTCCTTTTCACAGTTCACATTGCTGATACACAAATCATGGTGGTGAGATAGTTGAATTTCAACCCAGATATAGTACTCCTTTGTTGCAGGAGTTTACCTTTAAGATTTGTCTGGCTATCAGCCCAGATGTGGCACTTCTCTATTAGGGGAGGTTACCTCTAAAATTCATCTGGTTATGTATTCTAGCCCAGGGGAAGGGGACTCCTCTGATCCACAAAGTTAACAATGGTTCTTTACAATCCTGTGGTTTACAAAACTTTTGAGTGAGACTGGATGCCTCCAGTGTCTGTTGATTCTGAACTAAAGGGATGGCAAAAGACGTTCTACATCGTGACATTTCATAGGTTCTTTTGCTAAGAAGTTTTCTCTATCACAGAGACACAGTAACATAGTGAGCAGAAGAAAATCATTTACACACCAAATGCCCACACACCCATGGTTCCTGAAAGCAACATCCTCACACAGAGACCCCGTCCACAGCAGTGACTAAGGACCTCATGGTCACATGTATTCTGGGGAGCCAAATGCATCTCTACCTCCTCTGCTCTGTACGTCACCTGTACCTGCATCATCACTGATGTGTCCCATGTTTAAGGCGGGATTTCCTGTTTCTGTGGTGCTGTCCCAGGTGTGCCTGCTGTTTGCAACCCAGAACACGGGCATCTTCCAGATATGACCTCACCTGAGATGTAGCCAGATCCTCCCTATTGAACCTTCTAAATTCCAGCTATCTGCACATCCCCCAAAACTCTAAAAGCTTTCATGGGTTTTCTTTTGTTTTCTTCTTCTGTTTTTCAGTGTTCAGTCATGACTGTGTAAATGTCATTTTCGATTACTGTCCCTAGAATGCTGACTCACATAAAAGTTCAAATTTGACCATTGAAGGCATTTCTGAATTTTGTTCTAACCTGTTAAGACAATGAAAATTTTTACCCACATACTCAAATCTACAAAAATCTGAAATACATAGTGACGGGCAGTCAGTGTGAGCCCAGTCACCCTCCTTACTTCCACCATGATCAGAACGAATGTGGCACACGCAGTAAGGCCTGAGGATGCTAAGTCCCACTGAAGGGAACCGAGAACTACCAGGGAGGGCTCTGTACGATCAGGATGTTCAGGCTCCAGCCGCTTCAAGGTCGCAACACAGGAGAAGGTGCCCTGAGACCCTGGGGAGACTTTATCTGCTGAGACCTCGAGGTGCCCCTTCTCTTCATCTTGTTGGGAGTCACTACACTCCCCTTATTTTAATAAAATAATACTCTTCCCTTTATCTCTTTCATCTTCATGCACATTTTGACAGTATAACATTTTATATCTGTAATCCTATTGATTATTTAAGAAAGTTATTGAATGATTTCAGATAGTAATAAACTCATCAGTTGAAAGTGGACACTCCATTATCTGTCAGTGTGTATCTCTAAAAAATACTGCACCCTCATTAAGACAGTGTCTGTGTAAATCACTGTTCAATTCCTAAGGGAACAAAGCACTTATTAGTTATCACTCTGCATTCCTGTTCTTCCTTCTCACCGCCCCCATCGAGATGAACACATCTTTTTCTGTCTTTATGGATTTGCCAACTACAGAATTTTCATAAGTATTTTCAAGGAATATTTAGTATTTGTACCTAGATTCATCTGCTTAGCAAAAAGTTTCACTTGCAATTTCTGCCATCTTATGAGGACAGTATAAAAATGAAAGAGCACAGCAGGTACTCATGAGGATTCCCAGAAATTAGAGACATCGTACAATGCCAGTGACTGGGCTAAACAGTTTAACAGCTTCTGAAATCATCAAAGTAAATCTCTTAGATGATTTTGATCATTACGTTTATATACATTTGCTCAAAACTTTG